AAGAACAGAAAGATTTAAATTGAAAATGGGAAAACAAAATATTTTAATTTATATATAATTAATTAAATAAACTGAAAATTATAACCGAACCTATATAATGATTTATATTTAGCTTCTTTGAATGTATATTATATTAAACATGGATTTTTATATGCAAATCATATGTATAACTTTAGAAAAAACTATTTATGTTTTTAGAAACTATTTTGCTTATATATAAGTTATATAAAGTATCTAATAAATAGTTAAACATCTGTTTCTTGTTAAGTTTTCCTTAATTGGTCATTTTTATTTGATAGAAACCGAGTTTCTGAAACAATTTATAGTGTTTATGATTTTATTTATAAACCATACAAACACCAAATATTGACGTTTATTATTTGTAATTGTAATTAAAAACGATAATCTAATTATTCTACTAATAATGATTTTATTTATAAATTTTTGTTTAAATACTTTTTGTACAATATTCAATTTTAGTGTATTTTTCGTCTCGCCATCCAATGTATTTTTCAAATTTTTATAATATTCGTAAAGTTTTTTTTATACTTTTTTTTTATTATTTTTTTATTTATACCTATGTCAATTTATTATTTTTTAATATAGCGTTAATGCTAGCAAATATTTTTCATGAATACACATAAAATAAAACATAAAATGATGTAAAACTACAATTACCAGTTTTAAAATACGAGTATTAAAAAATATAAATTATTACAAGTATTGATTAATTGAATTAAAATATTAAAATTATTCTAAAAGATATAACAGTTGTAACAATAATTTTTTGAAATATTTTCTATAAGTGAACAATAGATCCATTTCTTACATTTATAAAGTCATTATAAGCACGAGAACACTATTTTGATTTTTATTCTATTTTCAAAAAATTGAATTTTGTGTTAATAAATAATTAGAATAGATTATATTTTATTAAACAATTTATGTAGTTTGTGCCAATAATCCCTAGGATAAAACAATTATATTTAAGGCAAAAATATTATGCAAATACAGACATATCAAGACTTTAATATCTTTATATAATATGCAATAACTTAATATATTGATGTTTCCATAAATATGCGTCGGATGTAATCCGGCGGTGCATCTTCGTAATGCTACGTAATGTGTTATCTTATCTACATGCATGTTATTAGACATACAATAGTTTACATATAGTTTGAAAACAATGACAGTTCATGAAAGAAAGCATACAAATGTGAACAATTAAAAACTAAAGAGTCACACAAATCTTACATAAAGATAAATAAATGTTATTATTAAATGAAAGGAAAAATTTTTGGCTTGAAACTCTGAAAATATCAATAAAAATAATTTTATATCTCAAAACTATTTTTTTCGAAGTGATAGCATATTACTTATGAAAACCATTCGTAACCAAATGCATATTAATTTTCTAAATTTTTTTTATTTTTAATTATGCCTATACTTATATTAAACTAAATATTTTTATAAATAATTAAAATTTTTAATATGCTGAAAAGTAAAATTTATTTTGTAAATAAAATGAAATTTTATACAAATAATTCATAAAATCTTATATTAATATGTTTATATCATGTTTCTCTTACATATTTAAAAATCTTTATAATTATAAAGTTTTTAAATTTATTTAATAATTCTAAATACATAGTAAATGTGAACAATAAGTAAGAAACATGTAAATTTCATTAAAAAAGAATATTTTTAAAAAATATTAGAACTACAATATAAAGCTACACTTTTAATAATTATTAATTAATCTTGGATAATGTATTTTATTATGCTTTATGTAGAACTTTATTATTATTTCAGTAATATAAATTCAATTGTCTTTTATTATTTTTATAGAATTTCTAATTGGATAGAAAAATAATTTAACTGTATTTTAATTCATTACATAATATATTAATATATTTTTATATGCAATATAAAAATTTTAGTACTCAATAATTAATAGAATATCTTACAGAAACAAATTCTTTGCTTTTCAATGATTTGTTAATTGAATAAATTATTTTTCCGATATATTTTATATCTATTAAATGATTATTAATGCAATATATAGAAAATTTAGTCAACAGCCTAATAATTTATAAGTTCGATAAAGTAATTTCTTTTTGCATTTAAATATTATATATTTTGGCTAGAAATATCTTATCTGTTTCATTGTGACACTTTAGAATCTATTCGTTTTCATAGGCGTGTCTTACCTGTAGGTGGAAAAAGATGTTTATAAACAAAATGGTAGAGATTGTTTTCATGCACATACGCATATTATGTTCTGGAAATGTTTGTGCAAGCATCCACCTTTAACTAGGTGTTGTTTGCTGCTATAGGGGAAGCGTTTGATTTCAGTCAATTCTATTGTACGGGCATATTTCACTTTATATTTGTGTCGTTACTAAATAGATTTGACATGTAGATGTGTGCTTACATCAGTTTTAAGGACAATTATATTATGTTATACTTCTTAAATGGATAAATAAGTTATATATGTTCGTCAAATAACTGGAGCTTTGGATGTTAGATTTACTCTTCCAATTAATTCAAGACTTTCATCATTATATTGTTTATTTTATATGTACATACATATATACATCATCGTCTATTTATCTATTCACTATTTTGAAATGAGTTGTATTTAATTTATATTTCATATAAATTATAAAGTTTATATAATGATTTAAATAAAATATTTATGAAAATATTATTTTTTAGTAAATTAAAAAATGAAAAAAATTGGAGATGATGTATTTAATGCAATAAGATAAACAAATTTATCTTGAAAAATATATGAACATAATTTTATATAACTATTTAAATTTTTAAAAACACATTCACGTTTCTCTTTATGTTAAAATTAGAAAAGACATACATTTTTTTTTAATATTGTCTCTATTAATTTCTTAGTATCAGATAAGTTTTAATTATTCTTATTATCCTTTATCATAATTTTATTATTATTCATATCACGTAGGTTATAAAACTAAGAAGATTTTGCAATACTTGGGTTTGTAAAAAAACAATTTTATTATTTATACATAAATAAACGTTATTAAATTATAATAATATAATATAAAATTTCTTTAATAATTTTAAATGATTCAATAATTATTTTGAATTTTTATTTTCAAAAAATTAAAAACATACATAAAAGATCTTATTTCTCAAAGGTTTATCATCTTTCCCATCTTCAATTTAATATAAGTTGATTTTGTGTATTACATGGACTTAGTTTAACGGATTTTAAAATGGTTATAAGTACTGTATATAAAAATGATATGTAATAACAATACATTCTATTAATAGTATAAAAATGATGAAATACGAAAGAAGGAAAAGAAGGAAAGAGAAAGGTGCGGCTTTTGCCAAAAATAACATATTGTTTTAACTCCCCTCATATTAACCGGTATTATGGTATTATTAACCGGTATGTGTAATATTTTTTCTATCTTATTTTTTATTTTTATCATTTATTCTATAATGAAGAAGCTTTTATTATCTAGATTATTATTATTTTATTAATATATTATACGTTATTACTATCTATATTAATTTTGTAGTATGTTAAGTTTTCAAAATTATCTTAAAAACCCTTTCCAATCTTTCAATCTTTTTTTTATTCAAAATCATTATATTTATCTTATTTATATGATTCGATATCCTATTGGCAATTCTTAACTTTTTATATTAGTGTTATTATTTTTGTAAAAAGTAAAGCTTAAAATACATGAAAGATAATATAAATTAATAAATGCATAATTGATCAGTTAAGTTAATAACATATTTACTTAAACTATTTTATTCTAATTACTAAGTTTAATCAATAATTCAAAATCTTTATATAATTTTTTTTTATTAATCAATATTTTAATCAATTTAATAAATCGTTTATTATGAGAATAATATTTTTTAATTAAAAATTGATATATTCATTTGAAATATTAGTAAATCTGCTAGTATGATAAATGGTTTTAAAATATATGGTACAAAAATTCTATTTAAAAAAAATTGTTGAACATCACTTTTAAATTTAGTATATTAAAATATTTAAAATTTGCTATTTATATCAGATATAATTAAATATGGTTCATTCTATTCCTTAAAATAAAATTATATTTTTTAAGGTTTTTAAATTAAGAATCATAAAAATAAAAAATTGCGTTAAAGTTTAATTTTTATGTAAAATATATTTTTGTCTTCATTTTTATTGGGACTTTTTAAGTTTCAATAAAGAAATATTTGTTAGCCTTTACATATTTGAAATTCATGAAATTTTGTACTATTTTTTTAATTTATATTAAATGAAGTGTAAATAATATAAAACTAAGAATTTGCCACTATTAAAAGGCATTGAATATAATATGTGAGAAGAAAAATTGAAGAAGATAAATATGTTGAATTTTATTTTGTAGCTGAACTTACGATTTAAAAAAGAAAATGGAACATTAATCGAAAATTAGGACGATCAGGTTCGGATATATAAAAAGAATCTTTGAAAAACGTGTTCATCAAATGAAATTCTTGTGTGCATTTACAGTGTTGTCAGTTAAAATGCGTCTGTTATCCGATGTGGTATATGCTGTTTAATCATCAGCCCACTTAATTTTGTGAAGAAAGATGTACACATTGAGTGTTATTTTTTCTCTTTTTGGGAAACGTTTCCAATTTTAGAAATGTTCATGATACCAAGGTCCTCATCAATTTATTGTCAACTATACATTTATTATGTCTACTATTTTAAATTAATACAATATTAAACACTAGAAGTATCGAATTAATTAAAATATTAAGATTTGTCACAAAAGTTAGATTATATAACAAAGTTTAATATTCATTTATCGAAAATGTTTTAAATAGATACATTGACGAAAATATTTATTTCTTGATAATTTTTAATAAATTAATATGTTTCTTAAGTTGTGATTAAATTGCCTTAAAATAATAAAATATTCGATTAGATTTTATTTTCATTTTTTACAATAATCCTTGATAATATGGGTTAGTACGAAAAATTAATATAAATTATGAATTAGATATTTTTATTTATTAACTTTTTTAAATATATCATTATCACTAATATTAAAAATAATAAACTCGCCAATTTTTGTTCTCAGAATTAATTTAAGATTTACTTCGCTTATCTGTTATATTATTTGCGCTGCATGTATATTTAGGGTTAAGAGATCGAAATGTTAATAAGAATAATGCGTCTTAACCAAAATTTTAATAAAAATATACATTCGTTGATTTGTAAATGGAAATATGTGTGATATTAGTTATGTTAATAAATTTTAAAATTGTATCAGAAATTGTTATTATTATTAATTATAGCACTTGAGTATTTATAATTTGTGTCAGTTATATTTAAAACAAACAATACATCAAGTAATTTACCAAAATACGTAAATAAAATATGGTACAACACTATTTTTTAAAAATATAAAAATATTAGATTTTAATTGTAATAATTTGTGAATATACGAATATTTAAAATTTTGATGAATATTTTGAGACAAATACAGTTAACATGGTTTTATTAATAGAGTAGAATATTAATTAAAAATTTACAATAAAATTTTTTAAAAAATGTAAGATTTTTTAGAATTTAAATTTGACGTTTGTTATTTAAATTTGAAAATCGTTATTTAATTCAAGATATATGTTGAATTTTTCATTTTAGATGAACGTGAGGATGTCCAAAAGAAAACCTTTGCTAAATGGATAAATTCCCAGCTTCTTAAAGTAAAATATATTTAAATAATTATTCTGTATATTATATATGTTGATTTCTAAGAAGTATTTGCTATATTAATAAATAGTATTTTCTTTTAATATAATTAAAAAAAAATTTGTAGTTAATAATATTGCTTCATTTAAAGTAATTAAAAATATATTTAGTAATTTATTATTTTTATAATGAATATTAGATTGCTTATATTTTAGTATTTAAATAAATTCATTCATATTGCTTGGAAGATAAAAGAAGAAAAGACATTATATATAATAATATTTATAAATTAAGAAATCCTTATCCGAATTTGTAAACATTAAAACATACTATAGTATTTTTAATCTAATCTTCAATAATAATTCAGCAAGTAATATTAATGTTTTAATTTTGTTTTTGTTTATACTATAGCTATATTATAATATAGTTAATGAAAAATAATTTAATACAATTTTATTAAATTAAACGTGTGTCTTATAAAATAAGGCTATATAGAAATATATAAAAAAATTGCTGTTTTCAAAGTAATACTTTGAATTTAGTTGAAATTATATGATGGTTTTCTTTATAATTTTTAAGTAATAACAATTTTAAATGAATGTGATTGTCAGTAATAATGGTAATTCGAATGCTTTACTTATATAATAATATAAGTTTATTATAAAATAAAAATTATGTATAATGAATTGTGTATAATATCCTTACGAAAAATTAAAAAAAAGTACAATTCATTAAAATTAAAAGAAAGGTATAGTACAATCATTTATATACTGTAAATTTTTGAATGTTAATAATTAAATATTATACAAAATTAAATTTTAAATTTTAAAATCAGTTATACATTTTTTTTTCTAATCATAGTATATATATTTTAAAAATTATGTAAATGAAATTTATGTTTTTAGAATCAGCATGATCCTATAACTGATTTGTTTTTGGATTTACGCGATGGAAATAGATTACTTTCGCTATTAGAAGTTTTAACTTCAAAATCATATGTATGTATAATATAAAATTGTTTTAAATTTAAATTTTAATGAATATACTGTAGTTTAAACTTTGTTTCAGAAACGGGAGCGCGGACGTATGAGAGTTCACCATTTAAATAATGTTAACAAGGCATTACAAATTTTAGAACAAAACAATGTAAGTGATTAAAAAATGCTTTATATTGAAAACTTAGTCGAAATTAGTATCGTATCAATTTAATTTTTTTTAATATATATAATATTAAATTCATTTATCTTAAAAATATTAGGTCAAACTTGTCAATATTAGCAGTAATGATATAGTTGACGGTAATCCAAAATTAACACTTGGATTGGTTTGGAGTATTATCTTACATTGGCAGGTATGTACGGATTCCTATTATTAATAAATTTTTTTTAATAAAAAGAACAATTAAAATATGTTTGATAATAATATTTTCAGGTACATTATCACTTAAAAGATTTAATGACAGAATTACAACAAACAAACTTGGAAAAAACTTTGCTTGCTTGGTGTTGTCAAATAGTCCAGGTTAATAATACATTTATTATAATCATGATTATTATATTAATTTTTTTTAATATGAAATACTCTATTAATAGTGAAAGTTATGTTTTTATGTACACATATTTATTCACAATCAATATTAGATTCTTTATGATAAAGTAGTGTAAAAAATTATAATATATAATATAGTTGTTTTTTTTTTACTAAAAATAAGGTAGAAAAATAAATGAAAATTTTTAATGGATATTGTTTTAGAATTATGAAGGTGTCGATATAAAAAATTTTACAACATCTTGGTCTGACGGATTGGCCTTCAATGCATTGTTACATAAATGGAAACCACAATTATTTGATTTTAATTCTGTAGCTCGGAAACATCCGAATGCAAGGCTTGATCATGCTTTTCGATTGGCCCAAGAGATACTTGGTATTGAAAGATTGCTTGATCCTGAAGGTGTGGTGGTTTATTTTATATATGATCTGTATTTATATATTATGTATATGAATTAATAGAACAAGTTTTTTTTTGTTAAAAAATATATTTTATTTTATTTACTTAAAATATTATTTATTGAATAGTAGTATTTATAGTCCATTTTTTAATTTTAAAGCTTAATAAAAGTAATAAAATTTAAAATAAATTCTAATAAACATAAAAGTAATAATTTTTACTTATTAAATTTCCGTTATGTGTATGGCATTTATTTTGTATGTACGATTTTGTATGAATATGTAATTTATTAACTTAATATTTTAGCAATTTTTTACATTTCAGTAATAATACTTCACGTAAGAATTCAAAGTGTATGTATTAAAGTTTTTATGATTTCTTTTATTTACAGATGTTAATACATCGGTACCCGATAAGAAATCTATTTTAATGTATGTAACCTGTTTGTTTCAATCATTACCTCATTCTGGACAAGATATTGAAGGAATTAATATTTCTGCAGCCAGTGATTCAGGATCTACTGCTACGACACCAGGGATTGAGGTAATAACATTTTAATTACTTATGGCATATTGGACATAGATGAAACAAAAATTACATTTTATGTAAATTATTTTATAGAAATTCCTTTTTTATCTAAGTAAAGAATATTCTATGTATTAATTGATTATTAATTGATTATTAATTATTATTCATTACACATTATTTAATTGATTTTGAAATGCGAAAATTATATTTTTAATACATATTCTTAGTACAGTGAAATAATGATAAAAATATATATTTTATTTTCCTTTCTTAACTGATTTATTGTTTTATTTCATTTTTATAGCAAGCAGTTATTGAATTTCCTCAGTTTTCCCAGTTTGAGATGAGTAATTCGCGTCCTGTGAGTCTCGCAACTAATGTATCGGTCGAGCTTGGCGGATATCAAGTGGCTCTTGAGGAAGTACTCACGTGGTTACTAGAGGCAGAGGATGTACTAAGTCATGCGGCAGACCCTGGTTCGAATCTCGAACTGTTGAAACGTCAATTTCATGAGCACGAGTCTTTTCTTGTGGAGCTGTCAGGTCATCAGGATGGTGTAGGTGCTGTCCTTGAAGAAGGTGAGCGACTGCTCGCTGAAGGAGGCTTACAAAAGGACGAAGAGCATGAAGTTCGCGTACAGATGTCTTTACTTAATTCACGCTGGGAGAGTCTACGAAAACGAGCGCTCGATCGACAATCTAAAATTCACAAGGTAAATAGAATCCTTATAATATAATTGTCGATATAGTTAAAATTGTAAATTGCATATTCGTTATAATCATTAAATTACATTTATATACAATTTTATATGCTAAGTAAATTTTTATTTATACATATATATATTTAAACAAAGAAGATATTCGAAAAATTACTATAAATGCATTTAATTAGGCTTAGGATTACTTATAAAAAATCAGAAATATTAGATAAATGTATTTCAAATTTTCAGCGAAAATATTATTATATGTTATATTTTTAGTATTTAAATTACATATTTAGTATTTAAAAATTTCATATTAACAATAGTAGATGAGTAAAATACATATTTTATGTTTTACAGTCTTATTTTTTACTTCGCAGTTCTTGGATTTTAAAAGTATTTATATTCAAATAGAATTTCTGTAGATTACTACAATTAAAATATATTATACAATTATGGTGGACATAACCATTTTTTATTTTTGTTATAAAATATATGTTACAGAAATATTTCGATATTATAATTAACAAGATATTAGTTAAAAATATATTTATTTTACATTATATTAAGAAAATTGTATTAATTATTATTAACATAATATATTAATTTAACATTAATATTAACATAAAATAAAATATTAACAAAATTAATTTTTAATATAATGTAAGATTAATATTCTAAAAAAATTAATATTTGGTAAAAATAAGTAATAAAAAGGAAGTAAAAATAAGGTTATTATAGTATTATTCTTATTTTGACTACAGTATTTATAATTTTGTAATTTTGATTTTAAATAACAAAAATATAAATTATAACACTAATTTTATATTATACTAATAGTTTGAACATCAATTTTGTATTACACTGGAATGTTTACACTTGCTTTTCACATATAAATGCAAAATAAATATATGTATATATAACATACGTATTTTTTGTTATTATAGATTCTAATGGAGTTTCAACAGATGCAATTGAATTCGCTTCGTCACTGGTTAACAAAAACGGAAGATAGAATATCACGTATGGGTGATTTAGAAAATAACTCTGCACTCAATGATCAGCTGAAACAGTTGAAAGAACTTGAAGAAGATATAAAAAATCAGCAAACTATTGTTGATGGTTTAAAGAATATGGTTGTTGTTGTTGATGAAATAAATTCTGAATCAGTGTATACACAGATGGAGGATCAATTATCAGCTCTCGGTAAGATCTAATGAGGCTTTTATTGATTAAATTTTAATTTCTTAATAGATATTATTTATTTGTATATTTAATTTAAAATTTTTTTTATATAAAAAACACTTTTTGGTATATTTAATTAAATATCCTATCTATACAATCAAAATTTAAAGCTTTTAATTTTTTTACAAATTAAACTATACAGTAAAATAGTGTTACATTTTATTGTTACATTACATCTAATTTCTGTTAACTGTTGACTGGTTCTTTAAAATTATGTATATCTAAATTAACGTACTTACTAATTAAAATAATAGGTGAACGCTGGACACATATTTGTCGGTGGCAAGAGAAGCGTTGTCAAAATGTTCAGGGTTTGTCGTCGCTTTGTAATGAATTTACAGATGATCATAAAAAACTGTTATCGTGGCTTAATGACACTCAGATAACATTAAAGCAGATGGAAGCCTCTCCTGCTTCGGAGATTGGCCAGGTACTTGAGCGTATCAAAAAGTTACAGCTTTTAAAAATGGAAATGGATATGATTCAAAAGAAGCTTACTAATATGCAGACAGCTATAAGAAATTTTGAGGGGCACAGCTTAAGTTATGATTGTATCAAAATGCTTGAAAAACTAGAAAATCTTGAAGATCAGTGTGAAGCTGTTGTTCAAATTATGGAAGTTCAAAGTCAAAGGGTAGGACTTTCTCTCAAGTATTTACATATAATATTATCTCATTCATTCTAAATTTAATCATAGTTTTAATTGAATATAATTAACTATTAATTAGTGGCAATATTAGCTAAATTTGTCTTTAAATTGGAGATAATTATGATTTAAGTTTATATATTTTAATATTATAATCAATATATATGATTTAATGTTCAAAATTTTTAAAACGTTATTTATTAACATTACATTTGTATAAATTTTAATTTAAATATTAGAAAAACTTATTAATTTTGTGTGCAGATATCGAACTCTGGATTTGAAGTTGATCTATTCAATGCTCAAATATCAATGTATTCTACTAATGATTGGATCAACGAGTCAATAATTGCAAATGCTCAAAAAGAAGAGATAGCTGGAATCGTAAGTAGTTTTGATAATTTATTAATAATATTTTAATTTATTAATTATAAGTACAATTAGGAATAATTAATAAAATTTAATAAAATCCGATAATATGTTATTAATTGAAATTATATTAAATAATTAATATTTTGATAAAACTTCAGTCACCGTCGCATAGTGACTCAAAGAAACGACGCATAGATAATGCAATGAAACTAGAATTTGAGAATATTTTATTGAATCTGTATAAGTGGTTGGATTATATTGACCTCGAAATAAGCCGATCTGAAGATATTTTTAAAAAGTTATCTGTTGATGAAAAAAAGATTTTATATGAGGATAATATGGCTGATGTGAATTCGCATGAAGCTGAGTATGAGAAAGTGATTCAATTAGGAAAGCGTTTCATTGATGAACTACGGAAAGCGAATGAACAATACGATGAAGAGGATGCAAAACTAAAAAATGTGGAGACTTGTTGGTTAACAACAAATGCGAGATTAAAGAAAATTAAGGAGAACATAGACTTTTTAATGACGATCAAAGAGAAAAAACTTGAGCTAACAAGTTTACGATTGATGTTGGATGGACACTATAAGTGGTTTGATGTTAATTATGAGAACTGCCAAATTGAATTGTTCAGAGTATGTTTCATTTTATATTTTGATTTAGTATTTTATTGAAAGATCAATATATAAGTAGCAATAGTAACTGATATAAATAGTAAACCATCAACCGATTTTGAAATTAATTATTTAAAATTGAAATTGTATTTCCATTATTAATCTTTAAAATTTAGTAATACAATAGCAAATTTTTGATATGATTGAAAGCAATATTAAAAAGTTTTTTTATATTTTATTTAGGTAAAAATAAAATCGATCGAATCTTGCGAAGATCGTGTAGAAAAATTAACAGCAGTGATAAAGGGACTGACAGATGAAGAAGTAGTTATTGATGAAATAGCTACTTTAAAACTGGATATTGATAATTTTATTTCCGATAGGAATAGTTTACTAAAAAAGTAAAAAATATTTTTAATAATTTATACACGATTTTAAAAATATCTTAAAAATGTTTTTATTGTACTTATAAAAATATTATTTTAAATATGTAATCATGAAAATAATTATATCATATTTATGAAAGTATTTAAAAATATTTTCTAGATTATTAGACAAAGCACATTCATTAACTAATGCAGCTGATAAAATACCACCCAAAAAGTATAACGACACAATTAATGCACTAATATCTTTAATCAATAACATTGAGAGTATATTACTTTCGGAACATGCTGTGATGTCTGATGAAATAACTATGCAAGAAAAAGTTAAGCAATTTGAAGAGTTACAATTAAGTTTAAAATCTCATCAAATTAATTTAGATTATGTAAATAAAGTGGGACAAGATTTGATTTCAAAAATGAATGGTGATACAGAAATTCATAAGATTAAAGAAGAACTGCAAGATCTTAATACAAAATGGAGTGATGTACCAATTATTTTAGAAGAAAGATTACAGAAATTTTCGAAAGGTATATTTTATTATATTATGAAATTATATTATTGTATTGATTTAAAATTTTAAGAATTACATAATCGATTGAAAAAATATAAAGTATTGTATATTTATAAAATTTAATAAAATCATAATTTATTTTTATAATGCAGTTTAAACTAAAATTTATATTTATAATTTTAATGTAATAGTAAACTACAGTAATGCTCGATTTATAGATATTCAATCTTTAAAAGTATTTGATGCAGAGGTTACTAATCTTGAAGCATGGCTTGAAACATCTTTGGTATATTTACAAGAAATTGCAAATTATTCATTTATCAAAGATGTAGAGACAACTGAGTATAAGCTTCGTCAAATTCGTGACTTTACAGAAGAAATAAACAAAACAAAACCGAATATAGAAAATCTTCAAACACTTACCAACAGCATGCTGGAAAATTCTGAGCCTAATTTTGCAAGTTTGTTAAATGGTAAATTAGAAAATATTTCTCATAAATGGAATGCCATAATTGATGAAACAAAAGTACAGGGTGATAAATTTGAAAATGCCTTAAGAAAAAATGATGAAGTAAGTTTATATTTATTTTATTATAAAATTGTTTTTTATATTAAATATCATTATCTTAATTTTTATTTACATATAAATTATTCTTACCATATAAAAATATTAAATTTATAATTAATTTAATTTAATTTTACCTAATATAACTATCTTTGAAATTCAGACCATTAAATTTCTTATAATACTCATGAAGATTAATAATAAAATTATTTTCATTTTGTTTAATATTTCCATTGTTTTCATATAATTTATTTATATGAATGATAGATATTTCAAACGTTATTTCGCCAAAACCTTGCGATTTGAATTAGTGGAATAGTACCGATTCCGAAAATCTTATCGATGTTCTTTTTATAATGTTTAAAATTTTTTGTTAAAAGTTACTGAAATTTTGAGTTGATATTGGAATAGACCATAAATTCTGTATTCATAATCCATAACAATTCTTAAATTACAAATAAAATTTTCTGAGTAGACGATAAAAAATATTTTGAAATAATAATAGTAGTACTAAAAATAGTATGGAATCTGCCTTTTTATGATAATAAATTATTTAATTGTGATGTATTCAATTTTTAAATCAAACTTATTTATATTTTTGTTTATTTTCTCATAATTATACTTTTTATTCATTTTTTACAAAAGTTAATTTGATTACGTTCTTTTTCCATAGATTATAAATGGTATAGAAGATTTTACAATTTGGCTGTCGAATCTTGAGAGTGAGATTCCTGTCGAAGGTAAAGTTACTTCTTCAATAGAGCTTTTTCAGATACGAGGTCGTTACCAAATGCTTAAAGATAAAATTGATCGTCGCGTGGAAGAGTTTCGAAACCTTAATGAGCTTGGTAGTGACAAGCTTCTTAGTTCCGAGGGCTCCTCTGTTCATGAGCTTGGACGACGGTTTACGCACCTCAATGCTAGATGGACTGACGTAACAGATCGCATTTACGAAAGATACAAGCATTTTCAAAATGCGAGTCATGAATATGGCGAGTTTAGAGCCTTAGTGGCACATGAAAGCGATTGGCTGGACAAACTAGAAAAAAAATTAAGAAAATCCAATAATAATGCTGCTGATGCCGAGGATATATCCGAGGAACTCGACGTAAAATATATTTCAAATTTAAACATTTAAGAATATGAAATATTTGAGAAAAAGAATTTCAATATAGTTAATTAGACTAGTTATTATAATATTAATTAATAATATTGTTCCTTTGATAATTATAATATAAAAATTAAATTTATATGCATAATGGTTTTTTTTCAGGATTTAGAAAATTATATTAGAAATCATCCAGATTCACGATTTGAGAAATTACAAGATATCAGTAAACAGCTTATTGATAATCGTATCATGACGCAATCAATTGAAACCGATGTGGAAACACTAATGAAACGATGGAAGAATTTAAATAAACAGGTAATGAATTTACATAGAATTTTAAGAATTATTGTAATTAGTGGTTTACTATATTCAATCACTAATTTCGTTTAAATAATGTATATATGTAAATTAATTTTTTTTTATTTAAAAAAATGCTTTTATAAAATAAAATCAAAGATGTAAAGAATATAATAATTATAATTTAAAATAAAAGTTATTAATTATAAATGGATAAAAAGATTCTATTTAATATGGAATAGACGTAAAAGAATGTAATATGTAATAGAAAAACGGAATAGTTATTCCGTTATTATAATGTAATTATTATATCCATTATTATAATATAATATTCTAAATGGATATTATAAAATAATATATAAATTAATATAACAAGTATTAAATGTTATTGTTAAATGTAATAAAAATTAAATAACGAAATTAAATAAAAATTTACATTTATTGCCTTATAGTGTAATACAATTTCTTATTATATATCTGTCAAAGAAAGATGTAATTGTTTGTTGATATTTTCAAGTTGTAGTAAATTATTATTTATATAAATTTGAAACATGAACAATCTTTGAATCGTAAAAAATTAAAATTAATATTTTATGAATTATATTGCATAAATTTCTTTTATAAATTAATAATACTTAAATAAATTTAAAGAAAAGATTGTTGAATTGAGCATCGGATTACTTTGATTTTATGTAAGAATTTGTCAAATTTTGAGTAATAATTACAATTACTTTATTGTACTCGAAGTACTATTTATTGGATACAATATTATTCTGTGAAGATTTATTTATAGTTGCAATATTAATATTTTTAATTTTCAATACTATTCTATTCTATTTAAAAAAAAATTTCTATTTGAAAAAATGCATAAAAAATGTCGCATTGAAATCAAAATATTTACATTGTAAAAAAGAGCGTATAGAATGTTCTGCAATCTTTGAACAGGCTGATGAACGAGCAAAGATATTAGAGGGATCGGTCAAGCAGGCCGAACAGTCCGAAGGTCGGATTCTCGCTCTTCAACATTCTCTAACGCAAGTAGACTCAGTATTAACCGCACGACTAGACTGTGATCTCACTGCCGAAGATTTACCTCATGACTACCAGGTGTGTGTTATTGTTATTTTTTTTATGTATAATACAAGTGAAAATAATATAACTTCGTTCATATAATATTGATATTGTCATATTAATATCAAATATTTAATGAAAAATTAAATATTTATATATATATGTATTTAATATATATTTAAAACTAAGTTATTTAATTATTTTTATCTATTATTTTTATGGCTATTTTGGGATTATTAATATATATGGTGTTCTTGCTTAAATGACCAGTATGGCGTTTTGTTATTAAATTTTTTATTATTATTTTTTATTATTATTTTTGCTTATTCTTTACAGTTCTTTACAGTTTCTTATAGTACAATTCAAGATATAATATTTTAATCTTTAGTGTTAATAAAAATCTAATCTATATATTAGTATACATATCTAAATGTATTACGAATATTGTGTATTCGAAAAATCATAAACCTAACGATTCGCTTACATATATTTTAATGTTTAAGTGATTTATTTACTCACTTTTCAAATTGCTTTAAATATTTATTTAATTTTTAAATTTCCTAAAATTAGGTACGGTTACAAAATATTAGTATTCTATATAAAATATATTTAAATAATCAAAATAATATATTACTAATTAATTCATTATTAATGAAATTCATTTTTATTTAATTTAAAAATTAAATTTTCTTCTTAAAAAAGGAACAATAGTCGAATTTTCGAAAACTGTAAAGGATTTCTATATGATTGAAATAGATGTAACATAATTGATAACGGTAAGAAAATGGTAATAATGAATATATTTTATCAGAAATTGATGAAGGAGATGAATAGTCAGCAATCAACTCTCGACGAGATGGCAACCCAGATAGAAATATATAAGACAGCTGGTAAATTTGAAGCAGCTCAGCGACTGCAAGAACAAATGGATCTTATCAAACAGAAATTCGAAGAGGTGCAAAATAAATTTCAACGATTTCGTAATCCTGTAAATATCGAACCGAGATTATCTCGTGCACTTAGAGAATTGCGTGGTATCGAGGAAGCCACGTGCTTACTCGAATTAGCAACCGAGGATCCAGATGCTATCGAAAGGCAACTCAAGCACTGTTTGGTAATAATTTTTAAATGATATTCTGATTTGACCATTTTAATATCGACGTTTTAAATCAAATTATATAATCGATTTGTAAATAAAATATTTATTACAGCGTTTTTATCAAACATTAACTGAAATTAAATGTGAAATAGAGAGTATAATAGTTACTGGACGTAAATTAGTTGAAGAAGAAAATGTATTGGAACCAAAAACATTTTCCAAACGGATAGATACTCTTAAGGAATTATACAATAAGGTATATATTTAAAAATAGAAAATTTTTCTAATAAAATATTCAATATTTTATTTATTCTTTAATTAATTTTTGGTATAGCTTGGAATGCAAATATCTGAATCCAAGTCAATGCTTGAATCTGCGTTAGAATTATCACGAGATATGTACAAACAAATATTTTATATTAATATGTCGATTGAAAGTATTAATAAAGAACTGGATACTCAAAGACAAAGACCTGATTTGCCGGTGAATGCAATTTATGTTACGGTATGATGAACATTATATAATTTATTGAAAACTTATTATAATTATATTATATGCATTCAAAATATATTGTAGATTTTAAGTTTTCAATTGTAACTTTATTATTAAAAGCTTTACACAAATAGTATAATACATAATTATAATTGTATAATTATATACTTATCAAAATTAGTTAAATATTAAAATACTAGTAGTTAAATAATTAAATACAAAATATAATATAAATGTACGTAATAAATTTTCATTTTTAAATTTAATTTATAAATTTCTAAGCAATAATAAAAAATGATGATTTAATTTTTCTATTATCTAGGAAACACTTACGGAAGTAATTCCGCGATTAAACGCAGTTAAAGATAAACTTTTTAAAACTCAGGATGAATTTTCTAAACTTTGTGATCCAACTTATCTTGATCAACTAAAGGAAAAGCTTTCTGATATCATTGACAGACTTACAAACACAGAAAAACGTCTACGAATGTGCAATGAATCTAATGTATGTGAATGTATTTGACGAATCAATTTTTATTATTGAAATTGTATTTCTATATTTATTTTTTAATATAGGAGGAACCCAATGTAGATGAAATTAATACTTGGTTATTGCAAATGGAGGAAAAATTGGATAAATTGAATAGTATACCAATGGAACAATTTAATGATCAATATTTAGAGCAATGCAAAGTATGTATATATAAATTAAAATGTGTTTAATTTTTATTTATGACTAGAAATATTTTATGTTGTAATGTATTTAAATATATTTTATATTGCCATATAATTAATTCCCATACTTTTATTTATATAACTTTAATATTTGTAAGAAATGTTAAATAAGTTAAAAAATTATATTATAAATAATGTTTCATTGGCAATATAAAGAGCTTGAAAGCTCTATCAAATATTGATGAATTTCATTTCAATTGAACAAAAATAATTTTTAATAAACATATACCAATTTAAATAATTTTAAATGTATATATGTTGCCTTATTTTCTAAAGAATAAAACCATTTCTTTTATAGATAGTGCAAACAGAAATAATGGAGTCTCAACCAAAAATCGTACAACTTCAATATTATTCATATTATTCTAAGGTAGCCGAGGTCTGCAGAAAATGGGAAGACATTTCTAATAGAATACGGGTAAGTTTTTAAATAATTAACGTAATTTAAATTATGTAATTTATGTACAATATTTTTCAAAATATTTCTTAAATTTACATTTATGTATTTATAGAAGTATACATAAATTACGTTGTAAAATATTTGCTTTCTTATCCTATGCTTTTGCTTTATAACATGAACTACATATAACTTATTATAAGTAAGCATGAATGCAATCAATCCATTTTTAATTTGTGTATAAATAATTAATAAGTATATTCTAAAGAAATTATTTTCTAAGGAAATAGGAAGTTTCAAGAAGAAGTAAAGAGCTACACAGAATTAAGTAATACAACAAAAGATTCGTCTATATTTACAGATTTGCTTGCATAATTTATAAAATTAAACACATTATTTTCATAATATTTGCTACTCAAAATTATTATTATATTTCACAATATTCATCTACTTAAGCCGAGTCACATCATAAATATCAAAAGTATATAAAATAATTGGATATATATATATATATATATATATATATATATATGTATGTATAAAATATATGCAAGGAAAAGTATAACATTCGTTTTATATATAAAGGGTTTCTGCACACCTGTATGCACATCCAAATTATTCTATTAACACGTACAAGTAAAAATCAAATAAGAAAAATACGTTATCCAACAGTATTTGTTCTTTTCACTTCTGTAAAATCAAATTATTATATTGAGAATTATTAGCGTATATTGCCACATTTTGAAAACAAGAAAAAAAAGAATTTTGTAAATCATTATTTATATCAAATATACATGAATATATAACATTGTCTCTTTTTCGATATCTGAATTATTTTGTTTTGAAAAAGATCTTTCAGTTGGTAAAAACAAAATGGTTGTCGAATGCATTGGTGATGGACATATTAATTAAGCAATATTAGTAACTGTAAACCATAATGCTTATGCAATGCATTTTTATTTCTGTCGCCAATTTTATTTTTTGTTATATATATAAATTTCCTCGTATTATTTATAATTCTTACTTTTAGTGATTTTTCACTTTAACTAGCACAGAAATGGCTTTTAATTAATATTCGATTCTATAATTATTGCATACAATAAAAAAATAACAAATTATTTATCTTTGTAAGCAAATTCAGTTAGATGCTCTTAAAATATTCAAACGTTGTTTAATGATATTGCTTAAAACATTTAAAAATAATAATAGATATTACACGAACAGTACAATTTCGAAATTTTAAGAAGATAAAGATGTGATTTTACATAAGATTTTAAGTATTTAAAATTTTATGTAAATAATAATAAAACTTATAAATATATTTTAACAGACTTTACAAGCTGCAAATTATAATTATTTAAAAGAAAAATTTTTTTTACTTCTATCAGAATTAAAATAGTTTGGAATATTTGTATTTTAGTCAATATTTTTTTGTAATTTCTTAAAAATATTTATTTTTCAATTTCTTTTGTGATGATTTATTTATTTATGTAATAAATTCAAAGAAATACACTATACTTTTAATTTTAAATCATTTCTTAGTTTTTTAAAAAAATTTTAATAATTTTATAGTTTAGATATTCCTTTTATTAAAACACATTTCTTAGAAATATCTCGTGTGTTTTTCTTTCATGCATTTTTTCTATCTTGAAAAACTGTATCATTGTTAATATTTTATTAAGTGAATATCTTGATTTCTTTTAAACAAAATTTTTATTCTTTAGAAATTTTCTTGTTAACGCAATAGCTCAAAAATACAAACTGTCTTTATTTTATAAATAATGTTGATGCCATTACAAATAATCCAATAATATGCCTTTATTCTTTTAGCTTTGTATAATAAATTATTTAAATGTGATCATTTATAATCATTTAAATTTAAATCATTTACAATCATTTAAAACTGAAATTAAGGGGTAATTCTAATTAGCAAATAAAATAATTGTTTACAATTTTAATTATTTTAAAATAATATGATAGTTTAAATGATACTTTAATATGATTTAATATTTTAATATAACACTTAATATAATAGTAAAAATATTTTGTATTGATTTTATTAGATATATTATAAAACAATTTTAATATTTTGAATATTCCCTTTCAAAGAAAATTTAATTGAAACTTTAACTATTTTATAAAAATTACATATGGAACAATAAAAAATATTGTCACTGCTTAATTCTTTATAAATTGTTATTTTTTTCTAAGCATTTGTTACAAATACTGTATGTTTGATAGAGCAAATATTTTTCACATTTGACATATCTGAAAAATAATTTGCAATATTTTATTTTTCAATCACATTTTTTAATATTAAATTCTCATGATTTACAATATTTAGTTTTCACAATAAATAATTTTTCTGTATGTGATTCTATTTCAATACAGCAAAATTTTTACAATACTATAAAACTACTTTTTCTTTATTATCTAAACAAAAACAGTAAATTCACGAGAAGTTCTTTTTGGACATCTTAGTTTCTTTATAAATGTATCGATAATTTTATATTTAATCAATAAAAATTCAATGGGCGTCTTATATTCAATTTTATTCATTTATAGTCCTATTTTGTTTAGTTGCCGTAAGTTTCATCGAAGTTAGATAATTTGTCAAGTTTTCTCATTGTATACTTTTTTAAGCAATATCGATACACTTAACTTTGATATAATTTTTTTTTTTGGCATAAGATTTATACATTGATGTTATTGATGTTGATAAATTAAATTTTTTTGCAAAATATCTTTGTCCTTAAATAAATAATTTCGAGGAAATATTATTTAAATAAAAAAATTTATCATTTTCTTCACTGATTTCATAGATATAGATATCAAATTCGTTACCACAAAATATTATATTCATTATTTATAAAAGGGTACAGATATTTTTTTATGTTTAAGCTTTCATAATCGATGGTTACTCATGTACATTACAAAAATGTATTTAAATTATTATTATTCTTTTGTATAATATCTTATTTGATTAATTCAAGAATAAATATTAATTATCATGCTTAAGTATTTAGCTTAAATTATCTTTATTTTAACCGTATATTTATGTGTATATCTGATCACATTTGTATGTTTCGAAGTTACACATAACTAAATGTATGCCTTTGATGTTAATATTTGAATATGCGAACATATACTATTCGTATTAAATTATATGATGCGATTGTAAAAGGTTGTTCTAGTGTTCAGTGGCCCAGAATATTTTAAGAATATTAATTTTAATTATTAATTCAATATATAAATTAGCATTAAGATTCTTGTATTTATAAAAGCACATCATAACAATTTTTTATTTCATATGAAATTATGTAAAATTTTATTATAATATTTAAAAATTAAAATTTTTAGCACATATGTTTAATGTACACTTAATTAATGTACTTTCTAACTTTGAATGACAATTCTTACTGAATAACGAAAGATTTTTAAGAGTAATACGACCATATAATGCTGTCAGTATTTGTAAAAAAACATTTAAAACTATAGATTTTTATATTGATATTTTGAAGTCAATGGCTACACATATTCACTTATATAGGACACAACCAATTTTTAAATTAAATAATTTTAACACCAATATTAGTAAAAATATACTCCAAATATTGGTTCAGATAGCATTTGAAAATCATATTGAAATGTTAATAAATATTTATGTTGTTAATTCTTTAATACACTTGTTTATAAATACAAATAATAGATTATTTATCTTTCTTACGTCGCGCATACAAATAATAATTTAGGTATATTACCCTAGTTTTGAGGTAGTTTATGATGTCTCTTCCACAAGCTTCATAGAAGCCACTAAATACCATTGTTTTAGGTACCGTATTATTATAGCGATTTTTTCACTATTTATTAATAACGTTAAACCGTTGAATCATTTAAATATTGTGTGTTAGCGTGGTTAGTGTATCTTTGCGTATGCCTAAGATCTTCGACAGTGAATCGCTGTGTATCATCTTTTCGCAGGAATGGATCCACTCGATCACTGATAAGATATTAATTAACTCTAATACATTGGGCGAATCACTTATGGGGAGAGACAATCGTACCGCCATGGTGATGAATCAGAAAGCAGCAATGAATCTCGCCCTTGATGCGGATAATCTGTATGGAATAGGCTACTTGAATCCGGCTTTCAATGACAATGGTGCCACCGGCGGGATGTACAGTGCAATTGCTGGTTCGAAAATATATACATTCTGTTGAAAAAATATTATTATAGAAATTGTTTGATATAATTTTTATGATCTCTATAACGATATTTTTTGTCTTTTGATTTTTTCATATATATTTAGTTCAACAGAAAAGTAAAGTTTGTGTAATATTCGAATCATTTTTATATTTATCGAAGTATTAGGAAAAATTATGTATTATATTAAAATATTGCATAAGATTTAGTTATTTATAAATCTTTATGTATATTATTGTATAGTTCTGTAACATAAATAGTAGAATTAAAAGATTTTTTTTAATTTTTTAAATGTGAATTAATAATGTATATTATAAAATAATGGTGAATTATGATTATAATAATTTGAAAAATTATAATTTAAACAATGTCAAAAGTATGTACATTTAATTATAAAATACATTCAAAATTAGGATTATAATATTTATACGCAAAAAAATATTGAAGTATTTAATTCAAATACATTTTTAAAATTAATTAAAATGGAAAACCATTCAGAATTTTCTATTCTTCTAATTTGTTAAAAATTTTGTTTATAAAATACAATATCATAAAATAAATTATTTTTATAAAAGTGGGCTAATAAGATGCTTGAGTAATGAACTTATATCGTTATTATACATTATTATACAATAATTAAATACACTAATGTCCATTAAAATGATGTATTTGAGTCATACAAAATTTAAAAATATCAAATTTTAAAATAATATCATATATACCAAATTTTTTGTACAAAGCAATTCAAGATTAATTGGTTACGTATTTTTACGAGTTTCGTATACAATTCCTTCAATTTGACCATTATAAGAAGATTGAAATACTTCATCGATTTGGATTATATTAAATTTAATTCGCTCAAATCAGGAATCAATGATTCGACGAATACACCAATGTCATCGTCGTTCAACATAGCTATGCGCAGCCATAAGTCTTCGTCCAAATTTCAAAATACAAGAATCATAGACATTAGTGGCACGGTTCGAAGACGTCTTAATATGAACCCAATTCCTGATGTCGTACAAACATCACAATATAAAAAACATCATTTTATTGGGGATGAGAATAATGGAAATAGAATAATTCTACCAATTATTGATGTTAATAAAGATGAGTTTTTTTTGTCAAAAAATAGCAAACTCTTTTCACAAGTTTCATCTACTACATTAAAAACATCGGTAATAAATCAAGTATCTAATAAAATGAATGATTCAACTTTTTGTCAAATCGTGGAGGTGAAGGAGATGGAAATTATTAAATCTATCGCAGCTACTAACAATAATCAAGTTGTTTTATTCAACGCCAAATTTGGAGTGCAACAAGTGCCTCAGGTATAACGCAGGCAGGCTTCTATTTGTATACTCTAAATTTGAATATATGAAAATTTATAGTTTGATTATAAGTTTGATCATAAATATTGTATTCAGCTCAATATTTTAAAGTTTTTTACTGAGATAAATTTATTTACTACTATGTTGAAGCTGCAACCTAATACTTTTAATATAGAATCCTTAAAAAAAATGAGCATTAATATATTTAAGAATATTTTAGAAATTCATATAAATTTTGTTTTATTACGTAAAATAATTTTTATTTTAATTCATTAAAATAACAATTTTTTATAAAAATGCATACATTCTATTTAATATTTTATATGTAAAATATGGTTATGTATATTGTATATAAGAAATATTTTATAAATTTTTATTATATTTTTAATATTATGTAATAAATATAGTGCTTAAATAATTTTAATAATTTTTCACATAAAATTAATTTTTATATATAATTAGTATTTTAAAAGTAATCTATTATTTAATACAATAAATTAAAATAAAGACATAGATAAAAATTAAATAAATTTAGAAAACAAACTATTTATTGTATTACATAAAATAATGGTAAAATTATGTGATTAGCTTAGCCTGGGATATTCGTAGGTCGTCGAACGCGTGGAGATAATTGAGGACACAGAAACGGAGCCTGAATCAATCGATACAGATTCTGACGAAATAGATATTGGAGCCACAACGCAAATATCAAATAAAAAATCCAGTATCTATCCATCTGCTAGGAAGAAACTCGAATCGATCCTGAAACACAGAAATTCTAATTCTGATAAAGATCTAGTCAATATTTTCAATGATTCATCGGAGTATTCCTCTACCAGCTTATTGAAAAAAAATAAAGTTCCGATAGTAATATCTACACCTGAAGTAATTAAAACTCGTATAAATACAGAAGGTGTTGCCGAGTATTTGATTAATGACGGCGAAATTGCCATCAGAAACAAAAATGTATTTCTGAAATCGCGGTATCGAGAAGTCAATAATAGTTTAGATCGTGGTGCTCGAAGGAAAGCTAGAAATGGTAAAGATATTACTTTTGCTAGAATTCAAGAATATCAAGTCAAAAGTTCACCAACATCTAAACGAATGAAAATACAGAAATTTATAGCTAGCGTTGAAATTAGAGAAGATTGTGATAGTTTTTATGGAAGTGATAAGGAGACGGACGATATATTGATATTTTCAGATGATAGCGAAATTGACGTAGGCAGTTCGAGCTCTGAAGAGAGCGAGATCAATAGTAATTTTAAGAAGAAAAAGAATCTGTTGGATAAGGTATAAGCTAGGCTCTTTTGCAAGGCGATGACAATATAATTTGCTTGGTTGCGGCTTGTTAAATAAATAAAATGTTATACTAAAGGCATATAAATGATTACTGTGTAGGTTAAAAAGCATAACATTTATTTTTTATTCAAATATAATAATTATTAGCGAAATTTGTCAATTTAAAAGATAGTGCTGTAGAAAAATTATTTTAATTCCTAGTACGAAGAACAAATATTACGCAATACGATTGATTATTTTTAATTAAGTCTTCTATCTATGTTCTTTTTAATATAAATAATTTTTAAAGTATTTACAGTTACAAAAAATTTTATTTAGAAATCTAATAGAAATTTAACAAATGATTACAATTTTAATCAAGTTAATAACACTTTTTAATAATAATATTTTTATATTTGTCAAAAATGGAAATGAACATTTTTCATTAAATAATGAAACGGAATATAAAATTGTTTCCGTTGAAGATGCAACACGTACATATGTATATATGCATTCACTTTGTAAAATGTGATTCATTTCTTCGCTTTCACTCACTCTTATAAACGTGAATAGTATTAAATTAAGATAACATAATACATTACATACAATCATATTTCAATTATTTATATAAATTATATATATATATATAACTATACATATTAAGTATATATTAATACTTTTTTACATTATAGAATTTTAAAAAACAAAGTATAATTTTTCAGAGTAGTAACATTTATACATAATTTTTGTAAATTTTGTAAATATTTCAACAATTTCAATGTATATTAATATAAAATAAATGTATGAAAACATTATAGTTTATTTCAAGCCTGGTATATAATGTTTTTATTTTATTGCAGCAAACGTCATAAAATGTATTCAATTTAACTCACATTTTCAAATAATAATTACTAGCTTTTTTATTAATATTGCTTTTTTAAATATGTTTTTAAATGCATGTGTACTAATTATTTGAAATTATAGACAATTTAAAATTTGTTGTTATAATTTTTTATATATGATATTATGATTTAAGATTGAATTAGGAAAGATGCATCAACGAACTCCTACTTATATACAAGATAAAAAAGACTTAAAAGAAAAAAAGATACCTTTTAAAATTGGTGGAATTTTACAAGCAGCTTTAGAGAAAGAGATTATAAAATTTGAAGAATTATCGCAGGAAATGCTTAATCGAATGGACATTATGTTGATGACAGTTATTGGAGTGACAAATGAAAAAGATCCTTCTAAACGACTTGAGGTATAAATTAAAATGCAATTTTTAATTGCATTTTTCAGACCATACACAACTGTATATAATTTTTTGTCGACTTAGAATATTATGGCTTTTGTTTATGATGCGACCAAGAATAAATTATTAAAATTTGAAAAAAAGTTTATACCTAAATTGTTAAAATTTCATTTTAATAATGTATTAAATAAGAATAGTGATAAAAACATAATCATTTTATTACTACTAATAAAATCTTTAAACTGAAGTTTAGTTCAACTATTTTTTTCAAGAAGGATATAAAATTATATTTATTTTTTAGGTACTAAAAGGTGAAATTAGTTGTCTTGCATCTGATGCTGCGACATTAATAAGTCGAGGTGACGGTCTGGTGATGACAGTTCATGGAACTGATCCATTGCGTGCTGATACGATTAAATACGAACATCAAGATAAGTTACGTAGCAAATGGCATCAGATAATGCAGGAATGTGAGACTAAACGTTCACAAGCTTTAAAAGCTGAAGATACTCTTTATGCATATAATCAGTTAATTGCAGAATTAGAAGACTGGTTTCGTCTTGCACTTCAAAAACTTGAACAGGCGAATAACTATGAAGGTCAATTAGAAGCATTTACTTTAGAGTTCGATTTACGACAGGAACAAATAAAGAAACTGAACCAGCTACAGCAAGATCTTATGAAATTCAATGTAGCTTATAATGAAACAATCTATTATACTCTTAATAGTAAATGGCAAGAGATAAGTTCACAATTTAAAAGATTTAGCGGTAGTAAAGATAAAGATAAACAGCATACTGATAAAAAAGTTGAAATGGTAAATTATAGTAAATTTTTTATACAATATTAAGATATGTGCTTATATATATATGTGTGTGTGTGTGCGCGCGCGCGCGCGCGCGTGTGTGTGTAAATCAATATTTTCGTTCATATGCATTAAATCGATATAAATAATGTGATGAATTATTATTTTAATTAATTTTATTTTAGAGAAAATATTTTTAAATTTCTAATTTTATACTATTTACTATAATATAATTTTTCTCTACTTAATTTAAATAAATTTGCACAATTTCCAAACATAGAATTATTTTTGGACTTACATAGAAATGAAATTCCAGTTAATTCTATAAAGAGTGTATTAAATTGTACAACAATTAAATAATCTTCCATTTAGATTTACATAGTAAAGTTGAAACATTCTATTATTTTAAGAATATATGATTATTTTTAAAATACATGTGCCTATGGTAGATAAAACTTTGTATAAACTCTGTAGGAATCTAATAATTGTAATTTTTCAATTGAGATTTTCAGATTCCATTTTCATATTAAATTTTACTTTTTTATTTTCTATTCAAATCTAATGATTAAATTAAATTGAAAATTAATTTGAATTGAAATTATTAAATTGAATTTAGTTATAAATAGTTGATAAATCATTTCTTTTAAAAATTATGCAGTGACCAAACAAGATACATTCACTTGTCAGAATTGTTTAAATAATAATTATTTATTACTTCAATATATCGAAATAAAATATAAAAATATGATTCATGTATTACAACTGAAATATTTTTTAGTCAATAACAGATGGTGCACTAACAGTTCAAAATTATGTAACACGAGCAAATAAATTGCGTGATGCCATCGCGACTCTCTCCAAATCTTTCGACTCTATGCCGCTCAATGGCAAAGATTTTGAACTCTTTACAGATCAGGATGAATGCCTTAAAAAAATTAGTAGTGCTCTAAATATTTTAAAACCAAGTGTAGAAGAAATAGCTTATTTAGGGGAAAATATCTCGGAAAATCAACAAGCACGTCCCCTTAATGACAGTTTGAAAAATGAGTGGACAATTGTGAATCAAAACTATATTGAACGTTATAATCGTTGGGCCAAATGTAATGAAAAGCTTAACGAATTAAGAAACGCTTGTTGGAACTTCGACGATCGTTTATTAAAAATGGAGGTCATGATGAAGGAGATTGTAACAAATTCACAGAGTAAATTTAATCTCACGAAGATGTTAGAAATGGAAATTCCTAGAATGTTGAAAACAATGAATGGAATTAGTGCAACTATCACTGATGTAACAAATAGATCATCACCAGTAGATATTAAAGATTGGCAACGTGTAATTGATGATCTGAAGATGAGATGGCAGAAATTTGTTAGAGATTGGAACATGTATAAAAACAGGTATAAAATATGTCAATTGAAATTTTTTTAATAATGTCTCGAATTTTCCGTAGAATTCAAGATAATTTTCCTTCTATTGTAATATGTATTATTAATTATATTTTTAATTATAAAAGTTCATTTAGTTATTTAATATTTAAATGATTAAAATTATATATATGCATACTAAATGAAATTATTATTAAATAAATAGTTTAAAATGTTTTTTATAATTAAAATTTGGAATGTTTTATTACTATAGATTTGGATTTTGATGAATAACATTTTGCTCGTATATTTATTATCACATATATACTGCTTGATAAATCTAATAATAATTATTAATATTTATATATTTTTTTAATATAATTTTCTGAAATCTTTTATAATATTTTATCCTTGCAATGAGAATTTATTATAATTAGTAATTTGTTGATTAACATTCTACTATTAGAAAAATGATGTGTACTTTTTAAATATCTCAATCACCATATATTTTATACATTCATGCGTACACATTTTTTATTATATTATTATCGTCATAGTTTTTATAATTCTTTTACTTTGTATATAGGTTTATAAATAAATTTCATGCAATTTTAGATTAATATATTAAATTACAGGTATATTTTTCAAAAATACTATTTTTGATAGAACTATCTTAATAATATAAAATAATTCATTACTATGTTATATAGAATAATATACAGTAACTATTTGGTTACTATAGTTTAATTATCGTGTAAATATGCTCAAACTCATAATCTTTGAAAAGTATTGTTTCATTTCTTCAGATTCATTAAGAAATGCAAAGTTCAGATAAGAGTTTAAACATTTAAAAATCAGAACGTAGAAAATATGACATAGCTTTTCGTGAATTATTTCAGTTATTGTTCGCTTTTCTGTCGCATCGATCGTGTTTACATTGTAATTTTAATTAATTCTCAGATATGAGTAATGGATACGTAGTAATTTTTGTAACATATGTTGACCAGCATAAAAAATTTTATATTAATATTTCATCAGATCTGGTGCAATGAGTAAACACAGCACCCTTCGGCAGATAATGGATAGTGCTGACAATCTTCTAACTCAAGTAAATGCGTTATTGCTTTCTACAGCCAATCCATCGGATGATACTTCGCTTGCAATAAGATTATCAATGGTGAAGGTGAGTGATGCAATGTATATTTTTCTTTTTATACGTAGAATAAATTTTTATCGATTAATATTAATAAAGTATATACGAAAGTGCATTGTATAATATTTATTTAGAAATTAATATATTTGTATTATAAATAAATAAAAATATTTATATTATTGTGTATTTGTAAAACAACGACATATTGATTACATTCTTACATTCTTGATCAAATATAAAATAGAATTATTTATTAGTAATAACAATTAAATGGACACAAGTAGACTCCCACATTCAGTTAGGAATAAAAGTTCAAATGAAAATATTTTTAGTATCTTGTTTTTTTTATTTTTTGTTTTTTAAAAGATAATCTGTATATTGTCGTAAAATTTTTATTTGTTAAAATTTAATAAATATCATAATTTTTAATAAATGAATCAATAACTTAAAGTAAATTAAGTAGCAATGTATTATGTATAAATATTAAAACTTTACAAAAATTTAACTATTTATGTTTAATATAAACATGACATATAGGATCATTTACCCTATGCATTGTTATTTAGCATACTTATATATATATAAATTATTATATAATTCGAATTAAATGTTATTTATAATTTCGAAAGTATTGTCTAAGCTCAGTAAAGCTATAAGGTATAAACTTATGTGAGGTAAGCATGCACGTACCAGACAAAATTTATTAATTTGTTGGATTGCTAAATTTATCTTTTTAAAATAAAATGTATCTTACGGTTGCGTTTGATCATAATGAATCAGGCGACCTATATTTAGATTAATCTTAAATGGGTACTTATGTGCAATATTCTCAATGATATAGATTGATGAAACTTTAATTTTTTTTTTATATTGAAAATTATTGTCATGAGACAATATATGGTATTTCACTGTGTATATTGCTTATTTATTTATTTATTAATAAGAGAAGTACTTTATCTTTATAATTTTATTTAATCTTATACTAAATCAGTTTGTCGTTTTGAACTGAAATTTAAATTCGTAGTGAAACATTTTAATAATTTATATTAAAAATATTATGCTAGAATTAAGTTAGAAATAATTTTAATGAGATTAGTTTAAAATTTTTTAAAAGTTTTTCCATTCATTTTGTATTTTTTAATATGGACTTAAGATACTTACATATTTAAAGAAATTAATATATCAGTATTCGATTAATTATTATACTTATAAATTAAAGTTTAATATTGCAATATATTTGTGTAGTTAAGTATACGTGTCAAAGTGAATAAAACCTTTCTATTACGGTTAGTTTACAACCTATACATTTTTAAGATTATTTATAAATTTGTTAAAACAGATATATATTGCAGTTAACGAATACAATTTTTTTGGTTATAAATTATTATTACAAAAAATATTGAAAACAAAAACCAAAACAAAAATCAAAACAAAAATCAAAATTTTAGTTTCGTGAGACATTTTTTAAACAGTCATTAACTATTTGTTATTTTGTAGTAATATTTTAGAAGAATTTTATTCTTTTAAATGTTTATTTCAAAGTATTTTGATGGATTCTTTTAGATTGAGATTTTATTATGTTTTCTTTAACTCACAATACTAATTATTATTAACATATTAAAGGCAAGAGAAAAGGAACTCTTGGATCAAATAAAAGAATTGGAGTTGTTAAAAATTGAACAAAATACTGATATCAGCGATGAAGAATGTAATAAATTGATCATAAATTTAAAAAAGGTAAGTTTACATATGTGAAGAATTATTAATTAATATTGATAAACATTAAAAAATTTTTATATTAAAAATAGAAAGACACATTAATTTTTATTTAATAAAATTTTAATAAATATTTAATTATTTTAATAATTTGATATAACGGATTCATTCAAAAAATAAATATTCTAATTTTATAAATAATCTTAGTAATATATTTTCATATTCTGAATTAATATGAAATAATAAAGACAAAAGTTAATATGGTTCGATGGGATAAATTCAAGGTATATCAGTTCCCTTTAAAATAATGCAAATTCTGCTATTGTAATTCTTTAATTTTAATATTTAAATATTTTATAATTTATTTATAAATATTATTAATATTTTATAATAAGTTATATATTTTAGCAATATTACATTTTCTAAATTGATTCGTTAAAAAAATATTATTGATCTTACTGTTCTAAACTATTATCAAATAAATACCTTATAGTAAACATAGAAAGAAATTAATTTGATTAATTGAAGGAAAATTTTTTATTAGAAAAAATTAAATTATGAATAGTTTTATAAAAATATTTATTAATTTATAAATACTTTACAAAGAATATTTTTATGAAAAAATTTTATAGGCATATAAAGCTATCTTAACTCATAAGGAATATGTGGAAAGTAAATTGACATCTCTTAAGAAATACGTACAGACTTTAGGTGTGATCATGACCTGGGTGATGGAGACTCATACGAAGATAACCACTTTACGCAAACTTTCTCAAAAGGAGAGTGTGAAAACTATTGAGAAAATAATGGTATTCTAAACTAAAATTTTGTTAACCTCTTTTTCTTCAAATTGTTTTAAAATAATTGGTATTTTCGATCATGATTTTATAAATTTTAATACTAGTTTTAAAAAATCTTTAAATTTTACTTAAATATACTGAAAATATTATGTCTACATTATCATGATTGAAATGTATTTTTTACATAAGAATATTTTACAATATTGAATTTATTTTAAATAATGTTCTGGTTCATAATATATTTTCAGTTATTACTACGTATTTTTATTATGATTTCAATTGCTGTTGTAGACTATATTTTTACAAAATATTATTTAGAAAAAAAATCAATTTTAATAAATTTATAATTGTACAAATTATAAGGCAAATCAATTAAAATTTATGTATTTCATTATATCTTATAAATGTAGCTTTTTAATTTCCTTGATTATAAAATTTAATTTTTTTACCTTACATAATTATTTGATTTTATTATACAGATTAATGTTGATGATCGCCAAATGGACGTGATAGATGTATTAGAAAATTATACAAATTTAGAAAAAGAATGTGAAGCAGCAAAACAGACAGTTTCAATTGAACTTCAAGTAAATTTAACTATATATAATATAAATATCTTAATCATTTTATGTAGTACTTAAATTAATTAGCATATTAATTAAAGTTTGAAATATGATGTTATTATTTCTAAAGTGTTTATTTAGGATTTTGTATTATTACTATATAATGTTATGAAATCAGTTTTTGAATATTGTGTTCCTGAAATTCAAATTTATGTCTTGAAAAAATTATAAAGCCTTATTCTTATAAAACGGAAATGTTTTAATAGTTAAATTAAAATATTTTAATATTTTCACTTTATGTAGTTTTGAACTTTATTGCAGGGAAAATTAAAAAAACTAAGAGATGACTGGAATGCAATAAAGAATAGTGGAGATTCAGAACTAGAATCTGCACTTCTGGCTACACAAATTCAACAGAAAGGTAAGTAATTTTTACAAATTGAATTTTTTAAAATACATTATCAATTATCAATCATAGAGAGTTTTTGTAATAATTCCAAAAGAATTATAGATTGGTAAATATGATAAATTTTTATCTATATGAAGTTGTAAGTTGTATGTTATTGACAAAAATAGTAATCTTTTTAGTAGTTTAATATAAATTAATATCGGTTAATCACAAAATCTATTCATCACGTACAAATTTTAAATATAATCAATATAAATGTATTAAATTTTTTTAATGAGTTTGTTTTGTTTACATGAAAGAAATAAGAAACAGAAAAAAATGATATATAGAATACAAACATCACTTAGAATAAAAAATGATATTACGTATAATAATTTAAAAATTGAAAGAAAATATTCAAACTAAAAAATAGAGAACTGAAATATTCAATAATGTATATATAAAATTTATTATTCTTACATTTTTATCTTTACAGATATTTTTTATCTATCTTCTTGGTAAATCCAATAATACTTTTATCTTCTTTATCTTATTTCATACAATGGATTATTAAAAATGCTCTTATATTTAATTTCGTATGTAATGTTTAATTTTTACTTTGATAACAAAAATTGTTTTTATTGTAATGAATTATGATAGATTATTCATTGTTAATAAACATTATTGTTTTTATTTTTATACATTTCTAAGTAAAATATTTCGCCGCCATTTATTATTAATAATATGCGAAAATTTTAGTAAATTAATTAATTTGTTAAATTCATTTGTTGTTATTTAAATTGTTTTAATTTTTAGTTAAGATAGGTTTTATTTATTTTAAATTGTTTTAAAAGTATATAGATAAAATCTTGATGTAAATTCAATATTCTGTGAATTTATATAATTTCAAATAGTGTATTTTATACAGTTATTAAAAGAATTTATAAGTCAATTAAAAATTTGAAATTATAAAATTTTTATATTCTAATTTTTTGGATATTTAAATACCTTGTTACAAAAATAGTAAATAAAATTTTTAAAAAAGTATCGCTCGTTATATTAAAAATCAGATTCTGTTTAAAAGATCGTAGGTTTAAATTAATCATTTAGTTTCAGAGGAATCAAAACATTATAATTAAAGTAATATGCATGAAGAATGGTACGTAGCATAAAGTAAAGGGCTTTAACAAGTTATAGACATTTTTCATATTTATCATCATTTCATAGTTTTTCCTCCATTGCGTATTTTATCATTGTTATCTAATTTAGCACTTTATTTTTTATTTTCTCTAACGTTTACAATTAGATACTACTAAATTGTCATACATACGTATATATAATTTTTTATTGATACTTTTTTAATTTTCCAATGTTTCATTAATTGTTTATAAATAAATTGAAATTTTATAATGCATGACTTTTATTATGTCTGATATATAGCATGATTTTATTAATTAAATGTAATTTTTTGGTAAAATAATATTTTAAACAATAGATTTAAAAAACATATAATTTTAATTATTATCAATGATATGCAGTTACTTTTCATTTACTCTGTTACTATTATTTATTATAGGTATATAATATAGGACTCGCCGAATTGTTGTTGTAGGAATCAATAAAGCTTTTTTTGAAAGAATATTGTTTGACATTTTTATATTATATTAATAGCATTAAAACAGTAATTTCATTAATAATAGAAAAACCTTTATGTAGTTGTTGAAAAACAAAATTACAATATTTTTAAAAAAATTTTCTTTTGGGATTGGTATTGAATTTTAATTTATAATAAATTTTTAATTTGAATATATTAATCGAAATGACAAAAAATGTTATATATTCAATTTTTATTAGTAAGGTCTGTTTCTTTTATCTCAATTTTTAAAATAGGCATTTTAGATCTTGTTTTTGCGCAGGTATATAAGTAGATTAATAAGAACATCTTTTTCTGGATTACGTCTTTCTCCCGTGCCTTTAATTATTTTATGCTTTACGGTATTAAGTTAAAGAATAGGGAGGAATCGAATAAATAATTTTAATATATTTTTTTTACAAAAATGAGTTTTTATGTTTTATGTGCCCTAAATTTATTTTTTAAAAATTGATTGTCTAAGCAGAATTTGAATGTTTTATAAATGTTTACACAACGCTTCAGACGGAAAAACAACATATTCTTGTTAGGAAGAATACTTTAATTCTAAATATATTAATTTGTTCACAAAATGATTTTCCACAATACTCTATAATGAGAATTTATAATAACTTAAATATTTTATTGCCTTATTTTAAGATCAGTTTTTTGAATACTTATATTTATAAATAGATATTCAATTTTATATTAGTTTTAATGTTAAAAATGAATAATATAAAAAAAAATTTTATATTATATTTCAGTATTCAGATAAAACATCTTTTTACATTATCTAAAAGAAAAAAAATTGAAATAATTAGTTTCTTAGTATTTTGAGGTTAAACATATTCTCATAACTGCATTTATTTAACGATGTTCAATTAATAATTAAGATTGACACTTATAAATTCTTATTTTAAGGGGATTTTCAAACGAATACATATTATACATTTCATAAATTTAAACAATTTTACAATCACGAAAGTTGAATATAACTGTAAATAAAAATAGGCTTTTGTTATATTTTTGTAATTATTCAAATTGTATTTTTTTTCCAAGTGTTTACTTTTTCCAAGTGTATACTTTCAAAATGTATTCATATTGTCCATTAATACTGTAATTATTATATCGAGACTATTTTTGTTTTATATTTTTATTACATGTACATAAAAATAAAAAAAATGTCCAGGTATAAGATCAATTCATATAATATGTAGATATGTTGCATGTAGGTATAATATATTTTATTATGGAATATACTGTAATAGAAATTGATTATTAAAACTAAATTATATGGCGTTTTCCCCCTCTAATTTTCATTTTTCTTTTCATTCATTTTTTCCTACGCTTTCGACTTCTATACATCGCACATACTTTATTCACTTTCTTATAAGTCTCATTCTCTATCTCCCTCCACTTCAATGTTTTTTATCTCTCTCGATAACTCTCGCCATTCTTTGGTGCTACCCTTGCATCTGTGAGCTCCTTGCTCCGATCGCTTTGCTATCCGGTAGCGCATGCACACATATATGCGCGCGCAAGTATTGGCGGTCGGTCGTTTGCGACGAAGGCTAGCGGGGTTGATTTCGCGAGGGAAGCACAGAGCCATCAGTACATCTTTGAACGAGTATAAGGTATCGCGATTTTGTATTTAGATGAATATCCCTTTGTTTTACATACCTTTATTATTTGCTATACATATTATCGTCACCTTTACATGTCATGTTAGATACTAGAAGATGATTACTAGAAGTTAAGTCGTAAATGACGCTGCATTTACTGTAGAACGAGTCTTCCACCATTAACCCGGGTACCTGTTGTAGCTACTTCCGTACCGTTTTTCTATTTTATTATTGGATTTCTGTACATACACATGTGTGCCTTAGTCGAAAGTGACGTGCATATAGTGTTAGTTTATTCTTTTATCTTGGCTAATAATAGTTTGATTCACGAGCTTTTGATTTTTCGCTGTAAGTTAGAAACGAGTCATACAAAAACGGTAGTAAGCGTTAAGAAAAGATCTTAAAGGAATCATAAAGAAGCGGGAGCGTTGGTAGTGCACACATATCAAAAGTGTGCATGCTTCAGAATTATGAACGACGTCACGTGAGTATGTATACGTACACACATCTTGCACGTCTTATGCATGGATACCTTTGCTGCCTTCATGATTTATAGCGAGCACACTACGTGAACTCTATGATAGCAAGATGTACGTGTGAATTATTCGATCCATTAATTGATATCGATTGGATTGAAGAGACGTTTTAAAAATAACTTTAAAACAATTCCAAAGTTCGCTTTTAAAAAACATGTTATTTTTTAATGTATTTATTATTATATTTGTTATTTTTATTAAGGTAAAATTTCAAGAATATGTACAGAAGTCTAGAGTAACTTTTATGATTAATGCTTGATTTTATCTTTGTTAGAATTAATATAAAAAGAATGGTAAATTCGTAATTTTTATACATTAACTTATATTTATTGTTTATTACTTATTTTAACTAAATACAAATGTGATAAATTTAATATAAATATTTTATGATTTTAATAATATAAATTGTAATATTTAATAAGTATCAACAAAAACATTTTAAAATTTAGTTTAATCTATAAACGAATAATATTTAAATATAGATAAGAGATTGGCGTCATTTTTTTATTCAAAACAATATAGATAATATTTTAATTATTTAACTTTGTAACATTCATATAAATCAGTACAATAATTAAATTAAATGGACAGTTCTTGATTCTGAAATAGTTCTATAATTTCTGTAGGATACTGATAGATTAATACTGAAAAATTAAATAAATTTTAATATAATATAATTAAAATGTAATACTAATTCCAAAATCTAACATAAATTATTCATGTTAAAATTGTTCGATCATTTAACAATTAGCTATTTATTTAATATTTCTTTTCAAAAAAATATAAAATAAAGAGGGTCAAAAAATAACCATTCGACATATATAAAGGCAACATATATTTGAAATGAATAAATTCGTATACAAAATTAATATTTTTATAAAAATTCATAAAGTTATTACATACATTTACTATATAATAAATTTTAATTATCATTTTATATTGGCTGGTTTATTATATGATAATTGTTATTTTGATAAATAATTTAAAAAAGGAATAAATAATAAAATAAAATAATTTTATAGCAAACTATAGAAAAATAATTTTAATTAAAACGGTAAATCAAATGAAATTTAATGAGTCAATACATTTTACAAAAAAAGTAATTAAAATAAAAAAACAAGGAAAATTAAAAG